TATATATAATTAAGAATATCTATAAATATTATCTTAAAATAAAAAAACATTATTACAAAATAAGTAAATAAAGGCAATGTAACGTTTTTATCATATTAATTTTTTAAAATTTGAGAATTTTAATTTTTCATCAATCTGTAGGAATAATTTTACGAGAAATTTATGCAAAACAATTATTAGAAAACAATATATAGTAATAGAGTTCTATATAAATTTTTTTTTTTTTACCTTAACTCTTATTAGCTCTTCCAAAATCATTTTTTTTAACTTATATACAAGAATTTTTAATTTATATAAAAAAAAATTATTTCAATTTTTCCTTTTTTAGAAATATTTTAAGAATTAAAACAAAAATGAAGAAAATAGTAAATTACGAGCACATTTTATCGTAGTACGTATATAGATTAATTATTAATACACAAATCAACTTTTTTATATATAAAATATATCATTTGATTGCATTTTGGTTAGAAAATATTACATCATAATCATAATCGTTTTGTATTGCGTTGAAATTTTGAGTTGAACGTTTCATCTTCTACTGAATGTATACGGTTTTTTAGATCAAGGTTTATTAAACATGTTTTTAAACTGATCAAAATAATTTAGGTTATATTAGAAGTTTTTAGATAAACTTTTCTACAAATACTTCTAAAAAAGTAAAACAAAAAAAATAATTATTTTTTTCATATAAATTAAAATTAACTTATATATAAATTAATTTAATTATTATCATTAAATTATTAACGTACACATGTATACATTTATTTATGATTAGTTATGTATAAATTAATTTAATTATTAACATTTAATATATTAAAGTACACATGCATACAATTAATTATGATTTGGAAATAAACTTGGCAATAAAAAGATTAACTAAAATATTTTAAATCACAGTATTGTTTTTATCGTCAAAGAAAAGATATATTGAGAATGAGGATAAATGTTAGAAAGGGTACCTAACTATTAAAAAATGTGTAAAGAACCAAAACAATATATATAGAAGTAGATATATCCTCTTCTTCCGAGTTAATCTTTCCCAACTACATAAAATAAGAAAGTAATAAGACATTTTTGTAAAGTTTAAGGTATTAATAAATAGACTAATTGAAAAAGTTAACTGCATAATTAAAGAACTAAGATCGATGTATGATGACACTTAATTTGATCCTCATTACCGTTATTACACATAATTAAAAAAATGACTACAATAAAATTTAAGTAGCACTATTTAATAGCGTTGAATTGATGGTGACAGTCTCAAACTAGAGTAGCTATTATGTTCTCCAACTAGTGTATGCTAGATAGAAAAATGCATGATAGTGTGGATGTACACGTAAACTAAATTGATTTAAGTCAAATTCAAACTCAGCACGACAATAATAATCTCCATTCATTAAGAAAATGAGATCATTTAATTATTCAGTCATTTTTAACTCTGCCTGACAAGTTAAAGTTAAAAACCTTAATATTCAATAGATTTTTTTTAATTTTCTCTCTCTTTAGTTTGAAAGATATTTAATAATGTAAAATTAATGTCACTATCTAAAAATTTGAGTAAAATAATTATCTTTTAATTTTAATTAATAATTGTAATAAATTAAAATTAATAATTATTGTTTTACAAAATAATACTAATGTCTCATAAAAATTCTAATGTCTTTTTATTAATCCAACCGTTGAATATAACATATAAACTTTGAGAAAAGAAAAATCCGCATTCATCTCATTGCATCTCTGCCAGTGGCATTCCTAAAATTGATGTATAGCCGAAAGGGACTTGGTTTAAAAATAATTAAATAAATAAAAAATAATATATATATATATATATATATATATTAATTATGTTTAAATATAAGTAAATAATTGTTGTATATAATCTCGTATAAAATAATCTATATATAATAATCATGATAGTATTATTTAATTTAAAAATTGAACTAAGAAATTTATTATTGCTAAAAGTTATTAAATATATCATTCTATTAAATTTAATGCTTGATACAAATGAATTATTGATTCAAATGGTATTGAATTTAATCTTTTAAAACTGAAGCTAGTTATTTGCAATGATGAATATTATGGAGGCTTGAATTCATCTTAATTTTATAACTTGTAATGGTGTGTGGGAGTGTATGGAATAAATATATAGTGGACATTAGGACACGTGAAGCGAGTAATAAACGTAGGAGTGAAAGGACGGTACCGAATCCCATTGACTTGAACATGTTTCTTAGGTAGATTGCCTTCCACTTAGTTCTCTACTATTTATATACGCATTCTCCCTCCTTATCCTACACCTACCATTTCCAATTAACTTCCTTTATCTCTCTCAGACACAAACTATAACCATCATTCATATTTTGTGTTCATCATGACCAAGTCTCCGAGTGAAAAGAATGGACTCAAGAAAGGTCCATGGACTCCCGAGGAAGATCACAAACTCATCGATTACATTCAGAAACATGGCCATGGCAAATGGCGAACCCTTCCCAAAAATGCAGGTATATATGTGAAATTTGTGCTAACAAGGTTTTTCTCTTTAATTTCATGTCAAACGCATACACATTCTTCTATGTTTAAACCAGTTCATTGAAAGCAAACTATTCGATTTCAGTCCATTGAAAGCAATAACTTTTGATACTAGATAGCTGAACTCATATATATTTAAACTTTTCATGGCACTTAACATAAACCTTTGCATTTATTTTTCATGCATAGGACTCAAAAGATGTGGAAAGAGTTGTCGGCTTCGCTGGGCTAACTACTTGAGGCCTGACATTAAGAGAGGGAGATTCTCATTCGAAGAAGAAGAAGCCATCATTCAGTTACACAGTGTTTTGGGAAACAAGTAAGTCCTGTACTATTTTCCTCACCTTTTTTTGTTCTATATATTCCTCAATCAACTTTAAAAATGCATTAAAAAAAAATACCTTTTTGAATTTGCATATATGATATACAGAATCTCCAACTAATGCATGGACTTTAATAGTATTAAAGTTCATTTTTTAGTGAGTGAATGGTAGCTAGGCAACTATGCAAAGTCAATGATATAATTATATATATACAATAAGACCAATATTTTCTTGTCACTATGTAGCACATAAAATTAATTATTGCTGTCTAAATGGAAATTTTGACAGGTGGTCTACAATTGCTGCTAACTTGCCAGGAAGAACAGATAATGAGATAAAGAATTATTGGAACACTCACATCAAGAAAAAGCTAATCAAGATGGGGATTGATCCAGTGACTCACACACCTCGCCTTGATGTTCTTCAACTTGCCTCTTTTCTAAGCTCATCTATGTACAATTCACCTCAATTTAACAACTACCCTTTTCCTTCTATGGGAGGATCAATGATTAACCCAAGCCACCTTCTAAGTTTGCTCACAACTCTGCTATCATCATGTCAAAACAGAAACCCTGATGTCACATTGAATCATATTAATAATAATAACCAACTTAGTGGTAGCCCTCTACCCCAATGTTCCCAAACCATGCAACATGATTCTATACAAACCTTCCAACCAAACCAACTTCAAGAAAACCATATTGCTTATAAGACTAATCCTATGGAAGCTAAACTAGAGCATCAAATCTCTCCAATTGCTACCTCTTTTAGCCACCAAAGCACACTGCCAAATTTGTGGTATGATCACATAATAGATCTACCACAGGCACAATCATCATCAGCCATGCAATGTTTCTCATCTTCTCCCAAGTTGAACACTTTTGTCTTGGAAAATCAGATCGAGGGGATGCCGAATTTCAATCTGAGTTCTTTGTTATCGTCCACACCCTCGTCTTCTAGCCCAAGTACTTTGAATTCATCATCTTCCACCACATTTGTCAACGGAACCACTGAAGATGAAAGGGACACTTACGGCAGCAACATGTTGATGTATAACATTTCAAATGGCTTGAATGACTCTGGATTTTTGTGATTGAACACGATGCATGTTGTGCTGTAATGCGATTTAATTTTGTTAGTACTTCAAGATTTGTTTATTTCAGTTCGGACTGTTTTCAGATTTGTTTTAACGACCATATGAATCAATTATTACTATATATGTTTCCTAGTTTGATTGCTATTTATAAATGAGTGGTGCTATTTTGTACGAGAACAAACGGTACAATCGAAGACCACAAAATCATTCACCTAAGAAAGATAATAAAATTAAGTCAATTAACAATCTCTAACTAAAATCACGCCACGTGAAATTCGTATATTTATCTTTTTACTAATTATATATCATTTTTCTTTATAGATTATTGTCCCGCTATTATATACGTTAAAAATATAATATTGGGTCATAATTTGTATTTATTTATTTATGAAAATCAAACTTAATACTAATGGGATTTACATCACCTCATACACCTGGATCAAATAACTTGGCTAGCTAGATCTCTTATTAATTGGATCATAAGTTTTGAATGTCGTGTATGACAACTTAACCAAAAATAAATAAACTTTATAAGATAAAACAAACTATATATTTCACATACATAATTTTTTGTAAGTTACAAAAACATAGTTATAATCTAAGAGTGGAGTGAGAATTTGAGTACGATTGGATAACTAGTGAAATTAAGAATTTATTCAATAAACTCTTATTATAAAACAGTTTGTTAGAAATTCTTATGAAGTTTACTAAAATAAATTGAAAGTAAAAATTACTAGTTTAAAAGATATAAATTATAAGTCTTTTTTATAAGTTGAATTAAAAGAACTTTCAAAATTTTCTCTCTAAATAAAAAGTGGGATGTGTAAGTTAGACACGGGTAAAATTGTTTTACAATAAGTTTATTTTTAAAGTGTATAAATACTTATTTATTTTATATTAATTTAATTTAAAGCATAACGAAATTTTAATTTACTAACTTCTTAGACTAAATTCAACTCTATTTAATTTTTTGGATAAAAAAATCTCTATTTATTTATTTATGAAGAAAAACTCACTTTATATAAGCTTTTTTTTTTTTGTTCACATCAATATCAAAACTTCACCTTAAATTAGTTTAACTTGATCGATCGAGAATAAGTAAAATTTAATAAAAAATTATTTTTGTTAAAGATTAAATTTAAACATCATCTGAATAATTCGATCTTGAATTCAATACATAAAACTTATATCATATATATTAAATATTAATCAATCTTTATGGGAGTCATTTTCTCTACATTAATCTATATTAGCTAATGTAGGAATTTCATTTTATATTGGTTATTGCATATTGTCTTACCTACGTAGAAATTAACTATTTTTAAATTGGTTAAGACAATAATTGATGTAATTTTTTTTACATTGATTTATGAACAAATGTTTAAATGACTAATTTTATACATTGATTAAATCTATCTTAACTTAAGAATTCATATAAAAGTCTAAAATAACTAACGTAGAAAAAACATATTTCATTTTGAATTCTTATAAATAAACACCTCCATTGTTTCTTGAATTTAAAAAATATTATTATATTAATTCTTAAATAAAAAAAATAGTCAATGAAAATATAAATTAAAAATTATTCCCTTATTCTCTATTATAAAATTAAAAAATATACATTTTTTATTTTTAAATATAAGCAAATTTTAATTACTTTTGTTTCATTTATTTATATTATTTCTAAAATATTCTTCCTTTAATGCATGATTTTTCAGTTGTAATCATAGTTTTAAAAATCGGACCGGTCATCGAACCGGTTAAGGTACTGGGTCAGTGGGTCAAAGGTTGAACCAGTAGGTCACTAGTTGAACTGCATGACTCGATTTTTATTTATTTTTATTGAAAAAAATTCATATTAAATATATTTAATACTTATAAATTTTAATAAATTCATATCTTATTTTAAATTTCAATTTTTCTATCTTATTTAAAATTATTTTTATTTTTATTTTGTAAAAAACATACATAAAAAATTACATGTTAAACGGTATATTAATACAAATTAAAAATATAAATAATATGTACATATATAATATGCTTGCAATTAATATCACAAAATAATATATGTAATATTTACATAGATATTATATTATTAAATATATAATTTAAAATTAATAATATACTATAAAAGTTATTTAAGTTGTATATATTGCAAACAAATATATTAGAACAAGTAGTCATTGTTATATTTA